CAACAACTGGAACCCACGCGCTATCTCGTCCCCACACCCATATTTTTCCTTTAATAATTATTACTATTTTTTCTTAATTTTGATAATATTTTAAAAAGTAATCAATCAGGATAACAGATCCAAATCGAAATATTCAATCCAAAAATCGTATTTTATCTTAAATCGAATCCAAATTAAGAGGAATTATTGGATCATAAATTTTAATGAATTTAGAAATATGATACAAACCATAAATTTTTTGTAATTAAAAATATATTTACTAATCTTAATCGAAATATTCAATCCAAAAATAGTATTTTATCTTAAATCGAATCCAAATTAAAAAGAATTATTGGATCATGAATTGTAATGAATTTAGAAATATGATACAAACCATAAGTTTTTTTTGTGAATTAAGAATATATTTACCTAAAAGAAGATTTGAACGGAAACTGAAATCATATCATCATTCTAAATTATGTTTTAGTTTGTATGCAATTATTTCAGATAAATCAATTTTATCCAAGCCAAAATATTCGATTCCAAAACCGAACTATATTTTAATATGGTTCATTCCGATTAATTTTTTGAAAGTATATTTGATAATTCAAATACAAACCGAAACCGAAAAAGAAATTAAAAAACGATCTCAAAACTAATTTTAAAAATAAAATAAAATTAAGATTATATGTAAAGTAACTAAAGTTTGAATCTAAACCAAAAATTAAAAACCTAAATCGAAAACTAAACCGAATCTAAAACCCGGTTTGAACATCTTAATTTTCTTTTTTTCTTTGTTGGTGTTAAATCAGTCCTTCCACTTTAATTAAGCCGGCGGCTGTCAGGCTAAGTCTGAAAAATCTAGGATTGGTCCCCACGTTTATTTATTTTTAATTTGCTTTTTCAATCTTTTGTCGTATCTATTGATTTTCCTAATTAACTTTTTTTATCATCTTTTTTTTCTTTATTCGGGGTTGCATCAATCCAAATGTACGGTTGGGATTCTCTTATCCCAAACGCATGCTATTGCTTTGTTGAGGGGACCACAAATGGTCCAAACTATGTGGTCTTGACGCGTGTCCTCTGTCTTTTTTGGCCCGCGCGAGTAGCGACGTGATTTATGGTCCCCTCCTCTCTCTCTCTCTTTAATTTTCTTCTTCATTACCGGCTATTTCCGGTTTATTGGTTTATGCTAACCGGTTTTATCCTCCGTCTCCGTTAACTAGAGGGAAGCTAGTTCTGTCATAATTGTGATTAGCTTCGCACTAATTTATCTGATTAAGAGATAAGAAAACTTCTTTTTTTTTTTTTTTTTTTTTTTTTTTTTTTTTTTTTTTGAGATAAGAAAACTTCGAAGCTGATTGATTCTTTTTTCGACTTCAATCAATACTTCGCCTTTTCGATGATTGTTGCATTGTTCTTCACAAATACAATTCCTTGTTTTTTCCTTTCATTCTTATGCTAGTTATATTTGATTTGGGTTATCTTCTTTAGTTGTGTTTGTATTTTTTCATGTTTAAATTCTTCGATGATCTCGTATATTTAAATTTTAGTGAATGATTAGAAAATTTTAACCTTACAAAAAAATACATTCGTCATATTTTGCCCAACAAGCAATTGTGTTTTATTTAATTTATGATATTTTTTAGTTTAATTGAGGTTGTGACTTTCTCACGCTCCAACCTTTACGGGGTTTGCTATGTACGTATCGCGTCGCTTTAAGATTTGTGGTTGCTTATTGTTATTATACATATATTTAATGTTTTTTTTCTTCTGTCATTATCCATTTGTATAAAAGAACTCCATAAACCTAAGTATGAGTTGTCGACAAAAAAAAAAAACCTAAGTATGAGTTATGAGTTAACAAAAAAAAAACCTTAAAATGAATCACTTGTAGGATATTCAGTCGATGATGGAGAATATTTCAATATTTAAACCATTTCAGACTAAAATAAAAATAAATCAATAGAAGGACTAAAAATCATTAGAAATATGAGACACCTCATTTTCGTGTTTCAATCTTCTAGTCACTTTTTTTTTTTTTTTGCTCTAAAAAAATTAAGACATTCGAACCCAATGTCAAAGAAATGACGATCGATATTAAAGAAAATTATAGTGATCGGCCGGTCGGTACTCGGTACCAAAAAATTTACTTGTCATCGGCACTAAAATTTTTGGATTGTGAAACTATAATGCTGAGTTTTAGAAAGATGTGACAGAAAATCAAAAAGAATATACAGATTGAAAATGAATATTAAGCTTCCTTACATACCAAAGTATCATAGATTCAGAGATAAAAAAAGAAGTAATATAAATTAAACCATGTTAAAAAATACAATTATATACTAATCATGTAAATAAGAAAAAATTTCTATTTTTCCAGCTATGAAATTTATATTTAGATTGTCGATTTTACCATTAATCTTATTACTTTTACCATTGTACTTTGCATATAAATTCAGTGCATTGTATGATCAATTGATCATGCATGCTTGAGTAGGCATGTGCTTGGACATGATATTACATAAAACTTTATTTTTGTTAGACTTTGCTACATGCATAGACATAAGTTTTATTAAATCTGTATAATATGTTATGTATATGATCGTGCATGCTCCTTCAGTTCAGCGTTTCACACGTGTAGTTTGGGACAACCTCGGCTTTTTTGGTCGAGTAAGATTACATGTGGCTCGACATTGATAACAATTTTGAATAAAATAAATTGATTTATGTAATCATTGGATGATTAGTGTACACATTTGATGAAGTTGTTTCTTCAAATTATATCATCAAGCACAAAGACAGTTTTGATGAACCATCCCAAAGATGAAGTTATCTATGTGACTATGTTAACAGTTAACACACATTTATACTATGAGTTAACCTAGACTTATTTGCTTATCACTTCTTATTAAACGCTAAAAATTACCAGTGGACACTATTCATCACGTTTTAAATTTAAATATATAAATTCTAATTGATGTTTTCAGTTTCATCCAAACTCATATAATTTTTTTTTTTTAACTACAATTCAAAAATCCTTAAACCTAATCCTTGTATTAAACTAGGCGATAATTTACACGGTGATGATCGCATTCGCATATACCACTCCCAAATTTTATACCATTTTTTCTCTTTAATAGCAAATACGAAAATACACTGCTCTAAAGATTAGTCATTTATGTCCAAAAAATCAAAAAGTTTTTTTACAAATTTTTTTTTTTATAGAAAATTATGTGATTACAAAAAATTCGTAAATTTTCATAATCCCATTATATAAAACGAGTAGGATTTATAAAAGATGAAGGTGTGATACAAAAAAATAAGTGTGTATAAATAAATAAATGTGTGTTATTCATCATGTATTTTAATAGAATTGAAATTCAATACTAATCAACTGTTATTCAATTAATGATTCTGAATCATGCTTTAAAATCTGGTGTTATTGGATCTTCTATTTGAAAATCATTCTTAATAGATTTAAAAGTTTGGTGTTATTCAACTAAAATTTTAAATAGTTTATTTAAATAAAGTGTTATTCGAAAATAAAAGAATTTTAAATTTTTTGTACATTAAGTCATTTGAAATAAAAAAAGTTTGGAGTTTCATAAGTAAATTACTAAAATAAAAATCCAAAATATACTCCAAAAATTTTGATATTCACACAAAAAGATACTTATATCAAATCTAAAATCTAAACTTTAGAAAATAGACTACATAGACTTTTAAAATTCACATAATTGAATTCTTAAAAACAATGTTAAATTTTAAATTTTAAAAATTGTAAAACTTAAAAAATTAATTTTGATTTTTTAATAACTTCTCGTAATTTCATTAAATAAAATGAGTAGGATTTATAAAGCAAAAATAAATAAATGGGTACAAACTATAAATTATAAACGAAATAAGTTAATTTGTTTCTTAGTGCCATAAAATACAGTAAAATCTGAGGGTGAGACACACGCGCCACCTTAGATACGTTGCGTCTTAAAACACAACACGTAGCAACTCTTTTTAAAAAGGAAATACATTTATTATTTCTCAACAATAAAATAAAAACACAGCCGAAGAAGGCAACGACCTTTCTCAGCCGTCAGATCTCAATGAATACAGTCGCCACTAATAATGAACGACTCAGATTAATCCATGTCGACCTACTTTCTTTAATTATTTTTTTGTCGTGACCTAATCTTCTATTTGTTGTTCATTAGTCACTTATTTTTTATATTTATTTTCTTAGGTCTATGTGGACCACAGTGATTGGAAAAGAAAAAAAAAACATTTTTGTCAACCATAAATAATTAACTTATTTTTTCAAACGCATTGTTTGTAGCGTACTGATTTATTAAATACTTTTTGCTTTTGAATATTTCCCGAAATATTGTATGGTTAATTTATGATGTCGGGTTTTTATTTTTCCCACGATATCACTATAGTAGAAAGTTTATAAATCATGGTTTCTTTTTTGTTAAATCAAAACATTTTATCAGTTGATTTGATAACACGAGGTGACATCAATTTTTGTTATATGATTGTATTTTATTTTCCTGATACAAAAGTTAATCTAAAGTGAAAATTTATATTTTTGCGACTTGTTAAATAGTTTCCAAAATCATAATAGTCTGTTAATTAAATATTCTTCTGTAATCGAAATTAATTATTTTTGGAAATTCGTTGTCTTATTTGATAAAAGAAATCAATTTTCCCTAGTATTTTTTTAATTCAATATAATATTTTTGATAAATAGGTTGCAAAAAATAAGAAAGAATAAATATCGGAATAAATGGTCATCTCTCGATCTCTCAGCTCTGTGCAAGTCTGAACACACCCACACATATATACATACACATATACACACCACAAAAATCAATTATTTTCCAATTAATAAAAAAAAAAAGTTTCTGTGTTTTTTTTTTTTTGATAATAGAAACATATGAAACAATCGTCATAGAAGCAGAAGCAGCAGAGATTCACCTTCTTCTCTTTCTTTCTTTATCTTTCCCTCTCATAAACAGGAAAATAATTTCAAAAAAAAAAAAAAAGTCAAGCCAAAACGATGGCGTTTCATCACAATCATCTCTCACAAGACCTCTCCTTCAATCATTTCACCGACCAACACCAACCTCCTCCTCCGCAACCGCCTCCTCCTCCGCCGCAACAACAACATTTTCAAGAAGCTCCGCCTCCTAATTGGCTCAACACAGCGCTTCTTCGTTCCTCCGATAACAACAATTTCCTTAACCTCCACACAGCTACCGCTAACACCACAACCGCAAGCAGCTCCGATTCTCCTTCCTCCGCCGCCGCTGCTGCTAACCAGTGGCTCTCTCGCTCCTCCTCTTTCCTCCAACGAAACAACAACGCAACAGCCTCCACCGTTGTCGGAGAAGGAATCGATGATGTCACTGGAGGAGCAGAGACTATGATTCAGGGAGAGATGAAAAGCGGCGGTGGTGAAAACAAAAACGACGGCGGAGGAACTGCGGCGGCGGATGGAGTTGTGAGCTGGCAAAATGCGAGACACAAGGCGGAGATCCTCTCTCATCCTCTCTATGAGCAGCTTTTGTCGGCGCACGTTGCTTGTTTAAGAATCGCGACTCCGGTTGATCAGCTTCCGAGAATCGATGCTCAGCTTGCTCAGTCGCAACATGTCGTCGCTAAATACTCAGCTTTAGGCGCCGCCGCCCAAGGACTCGTCGGTGACGACAAAGAACTTGACCAGTTCATGGTATATAAATAAATTTCGAGTTTTATCTTTTTTCTTATAAATTATAATTAACGATTTCATAATTTATTTAGCACAAATTTTAATAACACACACACCGAGTTAAAATTTACAAATTAGGTTTCTTGATTTTGAAATCTTAAAATCAAGATTGTGTTTTTGTTTGGGATAAACAAGATTAAAATCCCAATAAAAAAGAGCTTATGATATATTAATGGTGTTTTTTTTTTTTTTTTTAAAGAGATATAAGAATGGTGTTGATGGTGAAGAAGATACAAATTTTGTTCTTTGTCAATGTTTATTATTGTGTGTTTGAGTAATGTTTTTTTGTGGTTACAGACACATTATGTGTTGTTACTGTGTTCTTTCAAAGAGCAATTGCAACAACATGTGCGTGTTCATGCAATGGAAGCTGTGATGGCTTGTTGGGAGATTGAGCAGTCTCTTCAAAGCTTAACAGGTGAGAAATGAATCTTGTGAGCTCATGAATCTGTTTTAGGAATTTAGTAGTGTTGTCACATTGACAAGTTTTGTGTGTTTTTGATGAGTATAGGAGTCTCTCCTGGTGAAGGGATGGGAGCAACAATGTCGGATGATGAAGATGAACAAGTAGAGAGTGATGCTAATTTGTTCGATGGGAGCTTAGATGTGTTGGGGTTTGGTCCTTTGGTTCCTACTGAGAGTGAGAGATCGTTGATGGAAAGAGTTAGACAAGAACTCAAACATGAACTCAAACAGGTAATATCTTCTTGATCATGTAGTAGTCTATGGATTGAACTGTTTGCGATACGAAGTTCATGATCTAACAATGTAGAGGATTTGTTTTTGGTGAAAAGGGTTACAAGGAGAAGATAGTAGATATAAGAGAGGAGATATTGAGGAAGAGAAGAGCTGGGAAGTTACCAGGAGACACTACCTCTGTTCTCAAAGCATGGTGGCAATCTCATTCTAAGTGGCCTTACCCTACTGTGAGTTCTCACTCATCTAAAATCTCTTTATAACTTCTTCTAATTCACTCAGTGAGCCATATCAAATATTGGTTTGCAGGAGGAAGATAAGGCGAGGTTGGTGCAAGAGACAGGTTTGCAGCTAAAGCAGATAAACAATTGGTTCATCAATCAGAGAAAGAGGAATTGGCATAGCAATCCATCTTCTTCCACTGTCTTGAAGAACAAACGCAAAAGGTATATACTATATCAGTTTATTGTCTTTACATAACCGAAAATTTATTCGATTGGACTCAAAGTCTGAAACTTTTGTTTGGATGATGAAAGCAATGCAGGTGACAATAGCGGGAGAGAGCGGTTCGCGTAGAAACAACAAACATATGATGTGAATTGGAGAGGTGGAAGATGGGATTCAAATGCAGGGTTTAGGGGTTTAAAGTTTGAGAAATTTATGGAGGAGTTTGGGTTATACAGAGAGAGAGGGGACAGTATTAGAAAGTAACTTTTTGTGCAATTACATAGTACGTAGTTTGGTTATGTGATGCCCATATATTTTATTAAGTAGTACACAAACCAAAAAAAAAAGATGAAAAAAGAAGATTCAGGCTTTTGTTTAATGTTTTTTGTTTGTTTGCCTGCATGAGTTTTTAGTTATGAACCATCAGATAATCATCATCATCATCGTAATATATCTTGTGAATAAAGTTAGTGAGAGGAGAACATTGGGATGCACAAGTTTTCTAGCTTTTTTATTTCTTAAATACTGACTTTTTTTTTTTTTCTTCAAACACCATTATATTAAGATCTTCAAACACCAAATACTGACTTTCTATGCATAAGTTTTCCATTTAGTTCTTTTTCTTGTTTTAATTGTATTGCACCACTTGATTCGTTTTCTTTAAATGGATGTTGCGGACAAAGCGGTATAATTTGTCAGCGGTTTAGTCCACTCTATTTTTGGGGTGGATAACAATTTGCCGCGGACCAAGTTTATTTGTATGTAAAAACGGTTTGTAGTTAGTCAGCGACGGATTTCTTCTATTTTCTTTAAACTGTGCCACTACAGATTATAATTTATGAATAGTAAATAAAAAACGGTCCAATCTACAAACGGATTTGTTCGTTCCAACGGCCGTAACCATTCAAACCTTTAATATGTTTCACATTAACCGTACTTGTTCCATTTTATCTGTTTATTTTGCAGTATTTATTGCGATGTCACATTCCAACTCGTGATATTGGCTTGATAAGTAAAAGACATATATATACACGGTAGATGAAGACAAAAATAAAAACATACCCCATCTTAGATAATGTAGCTTGCTGCGTACTTTCGTAATTTAATATTTTGAAACATGTTTCTTTTCTAGTCAATTGTTTATCCTCATCTTGTTGTTTCGTTTTGTCACGTTTGTGACTGATAGCTACAAGTTACAAGAACGTTTTCGAGAGATTTTTCTATCGGAGTTTTTGCACACATGAACAAGATAATTAGAGTGTCCTTAATTATTTTGGCCGCTTGTCGAAGATAGTCAAAGTGCAAGGACGAACAACGTGATCGTCAAATTTGGAAATGGGCTTGTTGAATGATTTCTCCAGCTCTGATCAGTCGAATATCATTGGTGACGATCTTCTTGTATTCTTGGGAGATTCGAGGAAAACATTATCTTCATGCCACTAGGTTACATGAAGTTTAAGCTATGGATGTGGATTTTCTATTATTAGTTGTTTTCATGGATGATTCGACTGAATTTAGACATTTTCAGACCATATACAGAAACGTACATATATCTGTTTTTCAAAAGTTTTTGTCATTAGCATGCTTTTCATAAGTTCTTGAGTCAAAAATATGTATCTAGAGTAAGCGAATCGCGAAAACAGATGAATAACCACGTATTTTGCCTAAAATATGAGATCATGATCCTAAAAGATGACGCACTAAAAAGACCTTTCAATCGACTTATCATCATCCTTAACATACAATATATGTAAGTAACACCCTACCCAAGCCCACAAAACCGGTCCGGTTTATTTGGAATAAATTGGACCTGCACCCTAGAAAAGCCCATAAATCCACTATGAGATAGAAACCCCAACCTGCACTATCGACCAAGGCATTCGCAACCGTATTAGCTCTTTACGTTACGATCCAGCTAGTAAATATATGGAGGCCTCCTAATTCGTTGACTTGGCCATCTAAATCCTTCTCTAAACTAGCTATATTCTAGTCTAAGTAGCACCAAGATAGATATGAGAACATGAAACGGAGACGGGAAACGGCAAAATAAAAAATTTAGAAACGGGTACACATGGATAACGAAACTTAGAAGCAAAATTGAAATTTAGATGTTTGTTTTTTCCTTCAGAAATGACATATGTACTAAATATTACTTATATCAAACATGACATTTATGCGCAAAACCTTCTATTGTTTCCGTGAACAAAACCATAAGCTCATATTGTAACCTTGTTTTATTTTTTTGCCAAGGCTACCTCTATTTAGGTAGTGCTATCTTGTAATACCTCATCTTCATTTTTTAATGATATTAACATATTTAGCAAAAAAAAATAAAAAAATAAGCTCATATATGTAGCAATAATACTAATCCATGACAATGCTAAGCATAAATTTCCTCGTTAGATAGGTCGCAAAATTAATCACACAACCAAAACTTAACTACATCGCCATTTCCTCTCACAACTTATGCAAGTTCAAGTGGATCGAAGTATTACTTGCGGATTTTTGAAGCTCCACAAAATGGTCTGATGAAGTTATTAATGTTTGCAAACATCTTCTTTCTTTTTTCTTTTTTACACTATGGCTCTAGCCTCTAGCATGTTCGAGTTTTGAAAATCTATCGTCTAAATTGGGCATTTCACATTTGTACATTTACACGCACCAATTATCTTTAGTGAAATTATTATGAAAATATAATAAGTTTTATAGTCTATATATACGTATGTATCTTAGTTAGATAAGCACACGTACATTTGAGATAAATACTAATATATTCGGGATAAACATATGAACCAAAGTGAATCAGTAAAAAATCTGAAGCAATTTTTTAGTTTTGTTTGTACTAATAACTCTTTAAACTATAATTTACCCAATCACGAATCTAACTAGTGGCGATCGAACATCAAAGTTAGACCTAATTTAACACGAAATTAATTTGTAACTCCTTAAGTCCTTAATCCTTATATATGTTTTTGTATTAACATAAAAACCAATAATAAAAATTATACAAAAAGAGAAGTAAAAAAGAAATTAAATTTTTATGACAACCGGAGCTACAAACCTCTCCGGTGAAGAATCTTCGCCGTCGCCGCAGCCGCCTTCATCGAAATTAAGACTATAGTTTTTCAGATCATAAGTAAAATCAACATCTCTCCTCATCTTCTTTCTGCCACTACTAAAACTCCTTATAAAGTTTTTCCACTTTGGCCCCGCAATTTTCTCAGAAATCTCTTTTAGCCCCTTAAGTTTCTCACTTCCCCACTTTCCTCCTCTTTCTTCTTGCAAAGAACCACTCCAACCACCGCGACTGCGAGACTCAACGTCTCCTCTCCGCCACCGGACTACACATAATTTACGAAAAAACCCACATCCACAAAACGTCGCCGTTTCTTCATAATCATCAGCGAGCAGATTCTCTCTATCAGTAGCCATGATAAAAAAAAAACAAAACAGAGAGTTTTGATTAATAGAAGAGACTCGATACATGTATATATATAGGTGAATGAGATTATGACACGTGGCGTATCGACCGTTAGGTGATTGTAGTGATGGGGTCTGTTATTGGACAGTTATGCGAATAGTGTGACAGTGATGTGAGAGTAGTGAGATTAGGATTCGCTGGCTAATGATGAAAGACAGCTGTGAAGGCGGGAGCGAAACGGTTGCTTTCTTTTTCTTTTTTTGTCTTTAAGGATAATTATGAAACGATTTATTGATAAATATTGAGTAAATAAATATTAAAACTTTAAATAAATTAGAGAATATCTGAAAAAAAAAGTGAAAAGTGTTTACAATTATTATTTTAAGAACTGATTGATGTTGATGATAATAAGTATTAATAACTGATTGATATTTTTATTTTCTTTTTGTATTTTTTTGTTGTTGTTCATATAATAATTAAAGTTTGTTTGCAACTTTTATTTTCATATATAGAAGAGAAATATCTTGACCAAAACATGATTCTAAAAACGTTGAATTACCAAAATATTTTATACTAGTTTTGGAATGAACTTCCATAATTTTAAAATTTTAATTTCAATTTTCATCATATTGTTTAGGTAAATTCTTGTATTGACTATTTACGTGTGAAATTCTTTGAATCTTGTAAGGTATATATTTTACAATCAAATCTCGTATATTTCTAGAGTATGACTTGATTTAGTTATGTTAAACTTTATCATCTATTAAATAAGTCGCTAAGAACAGTGATAAGTGATAAATAATTAAGTAAGATTAAAAAGTGTTAAGTAAGACAAATAAAGATTAGAGGTAAGCAGCCTGGCAAATTATGATTAGCCGTTGGGTTAAAAAGCAAAACTGGTGTAAGAGATTTGCTAAACCAAACCAAACCAACTCACAATATTAAAAAAAAGCTGTCCATGTTGCCTAAACTTATCTCATTATTATAACAATGACTCACTGATCACCCACTGATCATTATGTTTTTGTCCTAATCATCATAACAAAGATTGCATTGTGGATTTTTTTTTGTTTAAATAAATACTCGATCCAATCTAGAGTACGCAGTTCTATCTCACATGTAGGCATGTAGCATGAGATAGATTCAAACAAGACTTACCAAACTGAGAAACTGTGGTCTTCTAAAAAGAATTATTAGTCCAACAATTTCAGTGCTATCTTCAGTTTTTGAGGCTTTTAGATGGGCCTAATTATCTATCTACAGTTTGGACTTTGATATCTTTCAATTTTAGAGATTTCATGAAAATTTTAAATGTTTTCAAGTAACAAATATTTTATGTAAATTATGGATTTTGAAAGATTAATCATGGAGTCCGGAGAAACCATGTTAGAATTCGAATCACGGCCAATGCTACTCGAACCCATATGGCAGAGACTTTTTCTCATTTATCATTAGGCCAAGGCGATTTAGTTAAAAATTAAATTATGCATTTTGTTTTATGAATAAACTAGATCATGACCCGCACGTACGTGCGGGATTTCATATTGTAATAAATGTGTTGTATAATATTTATATTCAATGAAGATTTTTTTTGTTTAGTGATATAGATTGTAGTGTACATATTATAATATGTATAAAAAAAATTGTAGATTATTATTTATGTTTGTTTATGACAAAATAGCTAATTTTATGAACCATAAGTCAGATTAGATAAGAAAAAATCTTAGATGGA